AGGGTGTCTAGTTTAACATTCAATGACCTAAGAGCCCGATTTCGTATCCCATGCAGTCCAAGCTTCGGGTAGCCATAGTCAGCTAACAAGCTCTAGTAATTCTGGAATGGCCATCCTGGTCTTCTTTACTGCGACTTTTCATGCCTCCTCCACCTAACTGTATCGCAAATTGTACTTTAATTTTTAAAGCTTATGGAAAGCGTCCTCGAATATCGCGAGGAACCGTGCGGACTGGAGCCCATTGCGATAGTGATCAATCTGGCTTGCGACCCGACGGCTGCTGAACTTGTCGGAGAAGCTCGCGGAATTCGGATGCTGATGAAAAAGGCCTTCACGTTTCACGACCCCCTGATTTTGAAGATCTTAAGGAATCTGTCTGATCATGATAACTTAAAGCCTTTATTTCTCGTGAGTCCACGTTAAATTTCTTAAAGCGAGTTCCTGTCTGCTTATACAGGACTCCAGGCATGCGGGACTCCATGTCCCGGTCTTTCTTGTAAAATAATCGTGTCCGTAATGTACTATGTCGCTTGGTTGCCAGCAGTAGTAATTTTTATTCGATTTTTGGTTGAGTATAGTTGCCACGCGCTTTTCAGAAGCTTCCTTCTAGCGTTGTCAAGGCAGGCCCTTTCACCGATTAGCTTTTAATGTGGCCTCCTGCTATTTAACCCACATGCTCGTAAAGGCTTGATGTCGGAACGGTTTTTTTTCACCTTTTCCTTTAATCAGTCTGACCGTTTATCCGTTGCCATTATATTTAAATCCGAAAGTTATATGCCCGACAATTGGTCTACTTTTCTCTCATTTTATGCAATTAGCGATTGAATGGTACGTCTCGACCATCTATTGAACCCGGACTCTCTTGCTTTTAAAACCGAAATTAATTTTTTGTGTGAAATTTACTCGGATAATAGTTTACAATGAGGCATCCTCTTCATGTCGCCAGTTTTACTGGAACAAACCGAAGTTTCTTTCACTATCATTCATAATAATATTAATATATTTTAAACGTGTTCACATGAATTACCAAACTGGAAGAAACGGAGGACAGACACCGGCCTATTAACAAGCAAGTACTCCCAGTTAGGTGTGACCATACAACGGCAATGCGGCTCTCGCATATAGTTACAGTATTAACGGTAGAAACCTACTTTGGGTCCCAGATCAGCACGCGAAAGCCCCATCCTTCTGTAATACAGGACCGGGTGTAATAATGACTATACAGTCTGGCCAAAAAGGAAAGGAAATGTAAACGGCAAATACAGTTTACAAAAGTAGAAAAAACAAGAATAAATATTTCAATAAACTTATGTTTTTTTTTCAAGAAAAAGCGCGCCATAATTAAGATGTGCAATTATGCAAATATTGGGAAGCAATTAAATGAAAAAATACCTAATTAAAACCAAAATCAACTAACTAAAAACGTAAACTAAAGTAGGGTAAACTAAGTTAACTAAAATACTCGAAAACTAAAATAAAAGCATTAAACATAATAATGAACTGAGAACTAACCTAAAGTTTTTGCGCATGTGAATTGAAGGTGTGCATGGCGCTTCGTGCCGCGAACTATACTAATCTGATTCCAGAACGATAAGTTGAACCTCAGGTAAGTAGAAGTAGACGACGTCCTAACCACTAAAATCTTTTTTTCAGAAATATTAAGAAACCCAATAAACTATAAAGTATAAGTAAGTAAAAAATGCCCAAATCTGCCACACCCAACAAACAATTGTAAGTAAGAAACGTGAGTAAATTTCTGTGTTTATTTATGGCGTGCTATTTGGTTACGAAAACATTAGAAAATTTGAACAATTCCTGGGACCTAAAGCAGGATTCCACCGTGTTTATCCTCGATTACAAAGAATAAGTTGCCGTGGAGTATAAACATTTATACCTCTGTATGCGTCAAGGGACTCTGTTTCGCCTTCTTGACTTCTCCAACTCTGTATCCAGTAGTCACGCGTACTTCAAACTCCACGATAACAAATATCAGGGCAGTACGGTACTATTAAACAAATAGTAAAGGATAATCAAAGTACAAACCTCAACAATGGACATACCAAGTCAAAAGCGAAGGGAGTCGACCAAATCGTCTGACTCTATACCAGGGAACAACACAAGTTCAACAATAACGTCATGCAGGGCGAAATAGGTCTTGGGAAAGTTTGTGTATGTTAGTGGGAGAGGGGGCATGGCTCTGCTTTTATATGATTTCAGGCGGCCATTCCTATGGCCTCAGGATTGGTCTGAAAACACCAGCGCGAAGGGAGGGGATGAACGTGAACAGAGGTAATACTGTGCCGGCAAGGGGGGGGGTAGGAATTGCAATCGTTTGGGGTCAGCGGTGATGACAGCTGTAATCTAACCAGAGGGGGAGGGGGGCAATATCGATTAACTCTTGATGCAGTGGGGCGGAAGCATTATGGGAAAGGGCGATTAAAAGGCAAGAGAGTCGAACGGGGGGTTGAGAAAATATTCAAGCACCAATTAAGTGGTACTTGGCCAGTGTGCATTCGACTGGAAACAAAAGGGTCAAAGGAACAGAGGGGGGGCTCAGGCA